CTTCAACATGTCTACAGAATAAATAAATAAATAAATAAATAAATAAATAAATAAATAAATAAATATGATGATTGTGGGGACCATCGGATGTACACATCACTCTTCTATCCTCCTAGACAAGTCTGGTACCAATGTATCTTCTCCGAAGCGTAGCGGCCTGGTCGGCCTCGGAAGCAGACCCCGGATTCAATTCCCGGACCGTGCACGCATCATTCAGCATAGGACGCGCACAATGAATGGAAATGCAGAGACGCCCAGCAGCATGCGCGAGACTGTACAACTTCAGGCGAGAGAATATACAATCCAACATGCGATTAGGGTGGGAGCAGATTGAATAAGCAGGCAGTTGGGAGCACGCTGAAGAAGAGGCGGTGAGAGTTGAGTCACCAACCTCTGATCTCTTTGAAAAACACGTTTTAGGGTGGCAGTGGTACAGTACGCGTGCAGCTGCGACCGTTTTCACATTCGGGATCCTACGCACCAAGTGGATGTGATCGCTTCTGGTATCGATTGTGATTGTATCACGCGGTTTCAGACTGAATGGATGTGATATTCCTGTTCACAAGTACTTATCTTTAAAGGCAGAGTCCGCGTTCAAATCTGATTAGTATGCGGCTCAGATAGTAATAACAAAGTAGCAAGCAACCCACTAGTCAAGAAAAATTAAAAAATCATGGAATGTGCTCTATATAGGACCCCATGCGAACTGAGGTTGTACGTGCTTAAGGCGAAGAGAAGGAGCGGTTGCACGAGTTCTCACTTGTTGATATCAGCTGTTTTCCCTTATCACCTCACTCTCACCATTCGAACGTGGAGAGAGCAGCAGAACAACCGCACCATCAGGCAACCATTAGAAATGAAGTTGGGCGTCGTGGTCGCCAGGTGGGCGGGGCGGCCGACTCTTCACTAGCGAACGGCGCTATCCTCTCGCCTTTTTGAGATGCAAAACTAGTACATACTGCATCCTCATAGGGAGGGCTATGATATCCAGAGAGGGCGTGGGAACATCAAATGAACGCGGGCGCTGCCTTTAATCCGGAGCGAAATTCGTTGAAGTGATCATTTTACCCTCGAATCCATGTTTCCACGACAGCTAAATACAATTCAGTACGCTTTCTGATATGGCCGCTCCCATCGGGGAGACGGACAAGAGAATCGTAATTTGCCGCTCCGCCGCGCGCGGCGATGGGCGCGTTTTCTTAACTCGTGTTAACCTGTCGATTGGAGCACCGGACTTCATGTAGACCCCGTCATCGTAGACATTCATGACTATTTTCGGTTCTGAATTGCCTGTTGTCGCCATCCTCTACCTGGAACCATCGTCATTTGCGAGCGCGACGTCGCACGCGACGCCCACAGCGCGGCGAATTACGATTCTCTTGTCACATACCCCTCCCATCGCGCGTACATTTGGTCGCGCGATCATATCGTTCGCATCAGTGCGACCGAATCGCTGTGAAGTACGAAATCTCTCAGCAAGAACGAGAAAGATGTGACGCACATCTTTAGTCCTCCACAGCCCTGATACTCGCGATTTTCCGTGATGAGTCGAAGGGAAAAAGAAAAGTTGTTGCACAAGGTCTTAACCTGACCTTTCCCTTTGGAATGTTTGGATAAGTTTCAGAATTCTGATCACATCACCTTCGACATTCAAGGCAAGCTTAAATGATTAAGTAGCCATAGTAAAAGCGCTGTTTGGAGCAACAAGGGCTGTTCTTTTGACAACCTAGTCCTGATGAATTTGATCAGACCTGCTCGGTCCCTGAGCTGTTCAAAACAGTGATTCCAATGATTTCTCAGGTTTCGATAGGAGAGACAGGTAATTACATCAGAAATCCTTCAAAACAACTGAACAATTTCTCAAATGTTCTATTTCGGAAGTATTTTAAGAAACCGAAAAGTACTGCCATGAGTTAGAACTCAAATAGAGGATAGACAGAAGAATAGGAAAAGTGAAACGTGACGGTACTGATCCAATTCTCACCTGCCCCACCGCCATATCGCCAGTTTTCTTCAAATTCTCCCACATTGTGTATACAATACCGACATCATTCATCTTATTTCCATCGATTGATGAATCATCGCTTTCACAAGCTGACAACAATCATCGATCTGAAATATGTAATGACAGCACTAACACACTCTGAAGCCGCGAAAAGTAAAATCAAAACTCGAACCAGAAAAGGAACTAAACTTACTCACCAATGCCTGCGGTATCGTGTCGATAGTCATACCCTTCGGTAACCGCAAGTAAACTGTGGCGAAGATACCTGTCACGTAGAAACCAAACATCTTCTGGCCATCCATACTGCAACAAGGAACTGTTGTATCAACATAAAAGTATAACCGCAGGAATTATTTCAATCATTTGGGGATCTTTGAGCGTAACAGTCAGTTGACCCATCCACCTTTGCAACAAGGTTCCCTGAACTATTACGCAAATGCCCCATTGTATAGAATGCAGCTACAGTCTTGTTTGCTGCAGATGATGTGATGTTGGGCGGGGTGGTGGGAGGAAAGGGGAGGAGTGGTTGGGTTTTGCGCGAGGCTAGCTCGCTCTACACCCGTTTCTAGAGGGGGCAAGTGATGTGCCGGCGCGCGACACACCCAGCTCTCTGGCACGCCTCGGAGAAGCGAACAAGACGGTAATCGCGCATCGCATGAATAATAAAGCAAACGGAAAAGAAAAGAGTCATACCTTACCTTTATAAGCTCCTCGTTTTCATATTTATCCACGCCCATGTATAGAAGGGCAGGCGGGTCCACGACATTGGAGGTGAACTTTATTACCATGAGTTGACGCAAATCTGTGGCCGAAACTATAGATGAAAACAATATGGCACAAACAAGTGAAAATCCTGCACAATAACAGCATGGCCAACAGACTGCCTTCACTTCAAAACAAATAAGTACAACAACAACAATAACAAAACAACAAAAAGTCGCGCAATAAGGGAGATCGCGCCGTTCATAGGTGCGACAGCATCTGCTGGGATGCTTTTGGGGTTCACTGATGACACAGTTCTGGTAAGGGAAAAGTAAACCTGCCTAGGAGCTGTCTACTAGATTAAAATTCCCCGAACAAAGTTTATTAAGATGATCACCCGTAAATTCCAAGTGGGCCACCTCTCTGCTGAGATTATCGGATAGACCAGCGCTGAGCGTGAGCATCATCACGGGGACAGTTCTGGGTGACATAATATGGCGATTGAAAGGACCTCAGACCTGCAAAACTGAGCCATTGCGCGGAATACTGCGGCAATGATTCGTCGGACGGCGAATGTTTTCTTGTGCACTTACTCACTTCTCATTGTCAGCAGCACTTTCGCGCTAAAATGTCGAGATCCTGGTGCGATAGTAGGTGCGCGACGTCACTGTCGAGGCGCGTCGCACGATGGATCTCACGACCGCTCTGCTGACAGCAAAACTTTACAATTATTACGGTTTGTTCAAACTGCTCCACATTTTAAAATACCAATGCAGCAAATTCAACAAATATCCAATATTTCATAGACCACTGCACCCCTTTCGCACTTTTATTTCGTTCCCTTTCTTTTACCAGAAATATGGGAAGCATATAACATTTTGACGGCTATATGGCATATCTTGCAGCCTCTGGGGATTTGCTGTCCACATTGCGCAAAACACAACGCAACATTCTATTGAAGTAAAAGAAGCTAGATTCCTAAGAGTAATTCGAGCTGCCACATACCTCCTTAATGGTCCAAACAATGATTAACAAACTGAGTTTTGATAGCTTCAACTTGGGCATCATCTGCCAGATCTGCTACAAAATAAGCTCCCAAAAAGCTTATCGATGGAAAGTGTAGTTAGAGATTCTCTTTATAGGGTTTAGAGAACGTTACGACCTTCGCTCGCAATGATATCGTGATTCTACCAAGCAATATCTGGTGCTAATCACCTTGGAGGGGGCATTCAAAGGCTTCCTAGTGCAGAACTGGGGTCATGGCCAAATCCGAATGCAGTTACTGTACTTGAAAATCGTTTACCCATCCACAGCTTCTTATTCTCTTCTAACAATACTGAAGCCATGACGTATACAACGACCGGTAGCCACAAGCCATCAAACGAGCATTCAAAAGCCACAACATTTCCGAATGGAAATCAAGTGCATGGCGCGCACTACAAAACGAATGATCAAAATCTAGCCATTTTCTCTCTTCTTAGAAATAGCTGCGGCTATAAGAAACCACTACATTCCGCTACCTTCCATCTCAACATCAAAGGGACAGCGTTTACCTGATAAGTTGCCGAGCTCTTTCGCATACGGGTACGGTGGCCCACAGTCGTCTAGAGTGTTCGCCACGAGTCAAGTGGAAATGCGCGGAAAGGGAAGTAGGAGCTCGCGACGCAGGTTGTCCATCACCCCGAGAGCGCGGTCTCCGCCCACTTTACAATCGCGAACGACTTCAAATAAGACAGAATAATACAGGAAATTATAAAGGAAGGTCCGAATAATAAAGGCGACGTGTTAGGGGAAAAAAGCTGAACACAAAACTCGATACAACACGCACTTTCTCTGTATTATGCTCGTACATTACTCAAAAC